TTCAGAAAGAAAAGTTTCCAGGACAAAAAGAAATGTCTTTGAGAATTCAATTTGTGTTACAGATGTTTTGAACCATATTTTAATTTTTTCATTTATTTGAATTTCTCTTTACATGGCATGGCTTCAAAATGTCTCTTAGTTTTTCTCTAACCATCAAAGGGGTCACATCATGACATGAGGGTAGTGTTTTGATACAATTCCTGAAATAAATAAAGTTAATAATTAATAATGTACAAGATTTTTAAGCATTGAAGAAGTAATAAAAACAATTACATGTACATAATAAAAGTTCCAAGGGCTTAATAGGTATGCGGTTATGGTCAAAGACTTTAAACCGTTTGCTACACAACAAAGTATTTTCAAATAGCCATGGTGTTGGCTTCTTTCATCTGAAAAAGCTATCCCGAGCTAAATTACAGAACACATGTGGTAATACTCGGGATGGTGCTGCTCATCTTATGTGTTTCTCCACCAGTAAACTTGGAGAGTCATCATATATTACCTTAACTGTGTTGCTAAAACTGAATAAAGTAGTTTTTTTTAAATCTCTTTCAGAAACTTCATTTCAATTTGAATAATTCACAAACCTTGTTTTAAAACAAAAACATACTGTATATTCCTTGAAGCCTTTCCTGATCCACAGCTGGCTTCTTTTCCCCTGATTTTGCAGGTGCTCCTGTTAATGATCTTCCAGCATATTCCTCTTCTTTAAATAATAGACGGAAAAGCTGGATTGCAGTCTTGCTGTAATTTGGCGCACCTGCAACTTTGCTTTCAAGCTGACTCTAATAAAAATATATAAATTTAGATGAAAAAGAAGATTGGAGATGAAAGTTTATTTTTGCCGCTGCACTATAATGTCATCTAAACAGCGCTTCAGCATTAAATAAATGACTGAATAAAAGATACTGGTGTTCCGATTTATTTTCTTATTGTAAATATTTAGACCAATTTCTTTCATAATATAGCTTTCAGAGCAAAACATAAAAACCTGAAAATTAAAAAAAAAGAAATACCTGTTGGAAAGCATTCCACAACCACGTGTAACTTGACTCCAACTTTTGCTATTCTGCAGTTAGCTTGATAAAGTTCTTGTTGCACCATTTGAAGTTTTTGCTCACTGCAGGGACATGGACGGGTTGAATAGCTGGCTCTTGATATCTAGGTACTAATGAAAAGCAAAATCATTAAACTTGAATTAACAAGGAGCGGAGCCAAAGTAAACATACTTTGCCTTTAAACCAAATTGTTGTTATTATTATTATTATCATTTTTATTTATTTATTTCTGTATTTACTTACTTACTTACTTATTTATTGTTGTTGTTATAATTATTATTATCATCATTATTGATAATTTTGCATAAAGGTTTGCTCCGTTTATCTATAAATCTACTTCATTTTTTCTTGAAGTACATTGGACAGTAATTGTTTGCATCGTGTTTAGATATGTCCGTACCGTACCGAACAATAGCAATACACTACTGGGCGGTTTAAACCGGTTGCTTCGTTTACATTAATTTCAAAAATATATGTTAAATAACAGTTTACTTACCAAGGCGCTTCAGCAGCTGGATGTTTCCTTTTCCCTAAGGAAAGAGCTACCTTCTTAGCGTTATATGGAGGAGGGCTTTTATCAATGTGCGGAATATTCTGGGAAGTTTCTCCAGTAGATGGTTGAGGACTTTCCCTAGGTTTCGGCGTACTTGTTGCCTGAGGTTCCCCATAAGATTATACCGCAGCCATTAATGGCGTGATGTCTAAGCCTGACACTGGTGGCATACCAGTCGCCGATCCTGACGCCGTCATAAGTACGTTAAGGCTTGCCCTAATGGCGTTCTCCATTACATAAAGTGGGTCTGTGTGTCTGCTTTTTTCTACCGATTCCTTAAAAGTTGTAAACTCATTTGTTAATTTTACAACTTGATTGGATAGTCCCTCCACAGTATTTTTAAATCTTTAACTGTTTTTTTAAGTTCCTGATTGTCCAGTTGTAGGTTAGCTATTTTACCTTGTCTGATTCATGGCTGCCTTTAATTGTATTTATTTGCTTGTGTACTTTGGCAACTTCTCCCGCTAAGTACCGCTCTGATTTCTCCACTACCGCCGTAACAAATGAATTATCATCACAACTCATTTTGAAGATCTGGAAAGAATAGAAAATAGTTGTAAGTATAACAGAACGGGTTATTCTATAGAGCCATTACATTAAAGTGTTTATCAATTACTATTGCCCCGGACATAAAATTCACTATAAAAATCAATCAAAGGGGAATAATTTAAAAACTGTGTAAGCTGGAGTTACGGTTTCTGTGTTGTGCAGTTAATGTTAATGGGATAAGCAGGCATAGCAAGTTTGAAGTAATTCTGATTTAAGATGACTAAGTTATGGGCCGGGCCAGAAATTCATTATAAAAATCAATCAAAGGGGAATAATTTAAAAACTATATAAGCTGGAGTTACGGTTCCTAAGTTTTGCATTCCGCCTTAATGTTATAAGAATGCATACCAAGTTTCAAGTCATTCCGACTCAAGGTGACGAAGTTATGCCCCGCCCGGACAAGAAATTTATTATAGAAATCAGTCAAAGGGGAATAATTTAAAAACTATATAAGCTAGAGTTACGGTTCTTCTGCTATGCACTTTGCCTTAATGTGATAAGCAAACATACCAAGTTTCAAGTAATTCCGACTTATGGTGACAAAGTTATGCTCCGGCGAAAATTCAATATAAAAATCAATCAAAGGGAGATAATTTAAAAACTTTGTAAGGCAGAGTTACGGTTCTTGGGCTATTCACTTTATCTTAATGTGATAAGCATGCATACCAATTTTCAAATACTTCTGACTTAAAGTGACAAAATTATGCCCTTGACAAACTATTGGACGTTTTATTATCTCAATTTGAAAAAAAAAGAAAACACATAAAAAATCCTACTTCATCTTTAACTATTTAAATTAAAATATCTTTTTTGAAAAATCAGTTGACAATTTAAAAGAAACACAACAATAAAAACAACGTTTTATTATGTATAATTAAAGAAATCAACTTACCTTTTCTAATCCTAATCCAATGAAATTATATCCAATTTGATACACAAAACACGAACCGAACACTATGATTCCTAACTATAGACTGACTGCATATATGATGAATGTTAACTATATAAGAGGCCAACAATGACGTACTACGAAAACATCAAGTAATCTATTTTTAGTAACAAAGCTAACTAACCCTAACCTTCTATAACAATATATAATATGTTACCGAGTATCTATATACCCGGCTGTAGAATGTCCATGGATTTATGCATGGTCATTTGTCCATGGAGTATTGGAACGGCCGTCCATGAACAAAATAAAATGTCCGTGGATGATGTCCATGCTGTCCAGGGATATCCGTCCGTGGACATTGTCCATCCACTCCATGGACATTGTCCATGCTGTCCATGGACATTGTCCATGCTATCTGTTGCTGGTTGTGCAGACCTCTTTCGACTGATGAATCACAGTTCAGCCCGGTTCTCGACTGGAAAAAGGGACAAACTGAAAACCTCAATGTAATTATATAAATAAATATATACAATTACGATATAATTTTTCTTATCTTTAAACCCTTATTTAGAGGATGTTTCTTACATGCTCCTATAGTTATTTATAGACAAAGCAATGATTAAAAGGAAAAAAAACACACTGTAACTTTGAAATCAACAGTTTTAATAAGTGCTTAAATTTTGACAATTAAATTTTTCATTTATTTGTTTCGCTTTACGCGGCATGGCTTTAAAATGTCCCGCAGTTTTTCCCTCACCATCACAGGGGTCACATGAGGGTATTGTTTCGATACAATTCCTGAAATAAATAAAGCTTATGATTAATAATGTACAAGATTTTTACATTGAAGAAGTAATAAAAACAATTACATAATTAAAGTTCCAAGGGCTTCCAAGGTATGCGGTTATTATTAAAGTTAAGTTAAAGACTTTAAAACATTTGCTACACAACAATGTATTTTTGAATAGCCATATGGTTGGCTTCTTTCATCTGAAAGAGCTATCTTGAGCTAAATTACAGTGTGTTAGCGTTATACAATAGGCGCGTCAATGAAAAATTACTCTTATTTCACCTTAAACTCTCTTTATTTTGGGTATGTGATAAATAGAATATTAAATTCATTTAAGTTCATTACTGAATTTATTACACTCGTTGAATAAAATAATATTATCCAACTCGTGCAATAAATTCAGTATTAAACTTACACTCATTCAATATCCTCTATATACTAACAGTATCAAATACAAATACCACTTTGGCAACTTGCTTTTGCATGGCCTTGCATATACTTTGACCTTTGACGTTTCAACATTTTCATTCTACAAAACATTATGAGTTTATCATGTAAACATTACAAATTTGTAATTGTGAAATAAAAGTGTTGTTTTGCAACATTGAAATGGTGTTCTTTTTGCCCTTTTTGGTGCTGCACTATGTTGTCATCTAAACAGCACTTCAGCATTAAATTAATAAAAGATACTGGTGTTCCAATTTATTTTCCTGTTGTAAATTATAATTTAGACAAATTTCTTTTGTTCCGATTTGTTTTCTTATTGTAAGTATTTAAACAAATTTCATTCATTTTATAGCTTTCAGAGCAAAATCCAATAAATAGCAAGTTTAATTTATCAGATTTTTTTCAAGTTATTTTATCTAGTTAAGATTTTTTTTGTCGGATTTTACGTTGCATCAACCTAGTAGTGGTCATACAGCAAAAGAAAATGAGGTCACTTGCATGGCTCAAACCAACAGTAGTGGTAGGCAAGTGATTTAAGTTTACAACTTTAATCACTTGGCCATAGACACCCTTAAAACTAAATAAAAATGGCAAAATGGGAAATAATTGAATCTCTTACCACAGTAAAACCTCCTATTAACTCTTCACCACCAGTTGACTGTTCTCAACATTGTCCAGGTTTCTAAAAAGATCAATAGTAACAACAATTTTATATAACCAAACAACAATTTTATATAACTATAAAATTTAAAAAATTACAACAAATTTTATATCCAAAAGTACCTAAATTGCAATTCTTATTTTATAAGTTACTGCAGCTACCAATAATTGCTTTCTTCAAAATCAACATTAACACCTTGATTTTCATTTGAACCTGTAAGTTTCTAGAAGTTGAACCCTTTTTTTTATTTCTTATGATAAATAAAAAGGATTATTTTATATAAAATATACTTGCTTGTGCATCAGAACTGCTACACATTGAACTTTCTCCATAATCAGGAGTATTTACATTCTGGTGGGGTTGGGCACCATTGCTCTGCATCTGAAATTTAAATTCAGTGAACTATGACAATTCAAAGAAGTTCGAGTCAATAAATAAAATAAAGTGCTCATGTGTTGAATCTTACAACATAGAGAATATTGTGGGTTTAGATTCAATATTTGGGTTTAGATTCAATATTTAAATTTAAAACTAAATTTCATTGAACAAATTGAAAAGTCATATCATGTGAGCTTCTAGCAAGTATAATAAACATTGTTATAATCAACAAGTTCAATAAATCAAGTACTGAATCTACACAAATATAATATTCTTTTTATCACATAACTAAAATAAGAATGGTTTCAATTAAAAAGCCTTATTTGTCAAGGGGCCTATAGTGTAAGGCTATCATTAGTGCGCTTTATTGCTATGTTTGTATATAATAAAATGACATCATGTCATTTGACAAAGTGTTATTACACCAGTATTATATCTTTTTCCATTACACAAATTTATTACACTCTGGTGCCATAGTTAATGTGATATAAATAATAAACTAGCTAGAGTTGTTCAAATGTCTTTCTATATTCATTCAGAATCTGGCTTTCAGTTTACTAGGTAAGGCATTGATCTCTTAAAGTCTTGACACATATTTGTGGTAGGTAAAATACATATATTTCGTTGGCCATAGATATGGTGACAAATGAAATATCAAAAGGAAAAAAAACAAAACACCTGAAAATTAAAAAAAATACCTGTTGGAAAGCATTCCATAACCACGTGTAACTCGATTCCAAGTTAGCTATCCTGCAGTTAGCTTGGTAAAGCTCTTGCTGCAACATTTGTACTTTTTGCTCCAGGTATCCATTCACTGCAGGGACATGGACAGGTTGGATAGCAGGCTCCTGATATCTAGGTACTAATGAAAAGCAAAATTATTAAATTTGAAATAAATCAAGGAAAGCACATTAAGTTTAATTTTACAAAGGTCATGTGTTCTGTGATCATTATTTAAATATCCAGGTACACAATTATCAGTACCAGTAATGAGTAATTGATCACTGCATCACATGTAATATGTTTGAAGATTGAAAGACTGTAATACGGAATTGTATAATTAAAACCATTAAGGAAAATGAAAACAATATACTTAACAATTGCAATCTTACACCCACTGCAGGTACAGTCCAGAATGTCTTGCTTGAGAAAAACTGTGAGTTTCCACTAACAGTTACTCAAGAGCTAGATATTCCAGTCTGTTACAACAACCAGTGTTTGATTGTTTTTCTTGCATGTTTCATTTTTATCATATTTCAGAAAGAAATTATCAAAACTAATATTGTCATTTAGCACTTTTTTCTTAGAGCAGCATATGAAATTACAACTTCAATCATAATGGCAAAATTGATGTCATCCTAAGATATAAAGGCCCCCAAAAAAACCCTGGCTTATTTGCCAGAGTATCAGTTTTAGACCTAGGTAAAAGGAATGCAGCTTTTTAAAAAAGAATGATTTATCTATTTTTTTTTTCATTTTGAGGTTATCATTGTAATTCCTGTTGCAACATACATAATAATAATTATATTCCATTTAAGTTTAAAATTTACCTTTCACAGGGGGTCCACTTCCATTAGCTATTTCTAGCGATTCTCGGACTGAGACCGGAAGACTGTCAGTTTTTTCACTATTTAAGTGTTCACTAAAACGGAAAATGAAAAGTTTAACTTATTGTCATATGCAGAAAGCAAGAATACATTTTAATAAATTATACATGATCTAACATCTTACATGCTCCTAATGTCCTACTTTGAAAAACATATATTACAAGGTATTGTTTTAATAGCAAAAATATTTCATCTGCTTCAGTAATTTTGCGTTTCTTGAAACGTTTCATGAAGCTTCTTATGCGCATGTGCAATGACATTTATCAGTTCTTTTTATTTAGAATGAAATTTAAAAAATGAAGCTGTCATTGCATTCAGAGAAATTTATAACATATATGCTTGTGAATTTTCATAAAAGTGCAATATGTAAAACTAATCAATTGTTAGATGTTTTTCTCTGGTAATGAATATCTGAGTGTAAGGAGATGTAAGATGACATTTCTAAACCAAATACCTGAAGGTGTTAGTTGCCTCACTTTGGCAGGCAATTTCCTTTTCTGGATTTGGAGTTGACAGACTCTCTTCAAGTTCTGTCAACTCCAACTCAGCAGCAGCTAATTCTATTTCTTTACCATGCTTTTCTTTAGTTGTTCCTTTTCCCTGGAAGGAAAATATGAATATCTTATAAAAATATAAAAAAGTGCTCTTGCCAGATACTTAAAATAAGTAATATCAATAATTGGTTGTTTTTCCAGGATTTTTTTCAAAATCATTTCATGAATGCCTGTTAACACCATGTTCATGTTGAAGCTGGTGTTCACTTAATATGAAATACTTTCAATCTTAAATACAAAACCAACAAATATCTTCTACAGAACAGTCTTTAAGGAATAATTTTTATTGCATCCAAAACCTAATATGTTACCTCAAATTTTCTTTTCTTTCCTTTGCTCCTTTCTGCAACAGCCTTCACTGGCAGTATAGCTTCATTCTTATTTTTATTTTGCATACATGTCTGCTGAGTGTTAGATTCTGTAATAAAATAATATAGACTGAAGTGTTTATAGATATATTTAATTTTTTTCCCATCATATCACAGGAATCAAAATCATCAAAAGAATTAAAATGTCTCCTTATTACCCATAACTGCATAACATCTATGTATAAGTTCTTTTATTGTTTGTAAAATGTCCAGTACGTATTATAATATTAATTTATCCAATAATTTCATTACAGACCTTTCATTAGAAACAAAATTATTGACATGTTTAATTTAATCTGTTAATTAGAAGAAAATGTCATCAAAGTAAAAATGACAAAAATGACTTAAAACCGAGTATTATCTTAAGATGGAATAATTATACACTTAAAAAACATTTCCTGAGATTTAGTTCATCTAAGGGGGGGGGGGGATTAGTTGTTGCGGCACATCATTTAGAGAAAGTAATAAGTCGTGCATTGCCCCTGCCTGGCGGCGGCTCTTGTTTTTTAAATGATTGTGCCGCGTAATGTTGTGCATTCTCCTTTGTGACGTCATTATATCATGACGTCATATCATAAATTTTGAAATATAGTTCTGTTTAATTTCTCTAATTTTGTTAAATTTTTAACATGTATGATGACATTGACTTTCTTTTCCTAAAGAAGCAAAATTTATGTACGCCGATATTTATTTGTGCCTGTTATTCCATTTAGTTATGATTTTCTTTTCATCCGCATTCAGATACAGTCCGGCTACAGTGAAAATTATATTTTATAAATTTCACTAGTGGTTTCTTTCCCTTGTGAACCTGCTTGTGATGACATGAAGCTGATCGTCTTCTATACGATTTGCCATAATACCGGTAAATAAACACATAGGAAACCTCCAATTATGCAACTTTACAAAGGATGGAAATTGTTCTTGACGGGCAAACTTGCAAATGTGCACAAGATGTCAAGTGAAAGTGTAGCAGATTAATTTAATCTTTTTTGACATAAAAAGTTAGTTACAGTTCATTTAAAGTAGTTTCTATTATTCTACTTTTAATGAAAATGTTCCTACTTTTTGCCTGCAAACTTTCATATTTTATTTTAATTTTTGAATAAGGCCAATTGAAATCATGCATTATACCTACTGTATACACATTAAACTATCATCATCACTTTCTCCTACCAATTCTTTAAGGGCCTGTATAATATGGCTTCCTCCTACAACCTCTTTGGAAGATTTGTTGAATTCGTCTTCTGTTATTTCCGTCGTTTTTTGTAAAAAATTTGAAGTGTCAAGTACTAGTAGCTTTTTCCAACGATGTTGTCAAATAATTTTGTCTTTGACAAAAATAATAAATTGATAATAAATTGGAAAAATAATTTCAAAGGTGAAACAATTTATTGAATTTTGTTGATTTTGTGGTTCATGAATTGTACTGTTCCTTATTTATGTCACATCAAACTTATGGTTTTTGTGTCGCTTTGAAAAAGGCGATATATAGGGGTTACTTTTGTGGGCGGTGTCTTCGTCGTTGTCGGCATCCCCTTAAGCTTTTCCGGAGCATAAGTCAGTCATTATTAGTGAGATTGACTTCAAACTTGGTATGTATGCTTCTTATAATGACTTGAAGTGAATTGACAAGAATGGTACTTTTGAGTTATTACCCTTTGTTAATTTTCACACATTATTTTGAAAATAGTTGCATTAACATGAATTATGACTTGTAAAAAGATTACCTCATTTAGTTTCAAATTGACTGGTACTCTTGTAATTAACATTCCAGGGGCCATCGGTATGCTGTTCTCAATATCTAGCACCCACTTATCTGAAATGTTTCTACTTAACATTTCAGTGGGTGCTAGATTTAAGTCATTCACATGTGTCTTGAACTGTCCTGTAAGAACACAGATATAATCCATTATGGTCTAGCAAGCATTTATGTTATTCTTCTGGAATCAGTCAAACTTGATGTATACAAAAATATTAATTTATTACTTTATTCTCTCTAATATATTGCCAAATTTGCAGCAGATATTGTCAAGGTGTAAATAGTAAAATTAAATCACTGAAATTTTACTCTAGTTATGCATCCTTTGCAAACAAAATGCAGTGTTTATTTATTGTAGCAGAGCAAATTGTTTGATCGCTGTTATCTTGATGTTAGTTTCATAATAAAGGAAAATTTTATTTGATTGAATTTGCTATATTTGCATTAAGATAAATACCCAAACTAGTCAGGAATACAATTTCCTTGAAAGGAAGTGGGACAGATATTCCTAAATAGCTTAATAATAATTGATTGCAAATTTAAGTCATTATTGTTCTGAATACTATCAATGATTAATGTAGTGATATTCTAAAATTTACATACCAACAAGTAGCTTTTCATAGAGACTTTAATCTTTTTCCCTCTCCTATATAAATCTCTCTCTTGTTTGTCTGTTTTCTTTTTCCTTTTTATAGAAAAAATAAACACAACAGTTTTTGCATATCTATATTAATTATTTTCTCTTTTAATTCCTGTAACTCATACATGTGTACTTTTTTCCCATGCTCTAGTCGGAGAATTTTCTTCAAAAATAGGGAGAAGAAGGATGTTCTGACATAAAAAAGTAAGGATATTTATTTAAATTGTGAAAATACCCCTTATTTAAAGAAAGATCTTTGAAAATATGGCTGTCGAAAGTGGGAGTGAGAGAGTTCACATATATGGTTACTGATGAAATAACAAGGTGATTTTAATTTCCCTGCAACATTTCTTAAAGATTTAACAGCTTAGCAGGCTTCGAGAAACTGCTGAAAAATTTGCCTGACATTCGGTCAGACAAACTTTCAATTCTTGTCTGACCGAAAGAACTTTTGTCTGACCAAATTTTTTTCCAAATATATGTATATGGTAATACCTTTGTGTTTTTTTAAAGACATAACAACTTTTAAAGATTTGCAACACAATTTTATTCCCTTAAATAAAACATTAGTTTATCCAGATTGATGGACTCTGTCTGGGAATCCAAACATTCATGATCAAAGCGGCCATTTTTCCATTTACCCACAAATTTTCTCGGCGGGCGCCTGGACTCGTATTCCATTTGTTTCGCTTTTTTTTTCTTCATTGGATAGTTTACGATTTTTGCTGGGCGTAGCGCCAGCGTAATAATGTAGTAACATCGACATTTTGGTTATTGACAGTCGTATGTATCTAGAATTTGATTGGACACTTATAATGAAACGGCGATTCAAAACTCGTTTCACATTTTTTTATTCAAGGGAGAAAACTCGGTCTTGATCGGTCTTGGATATGTCCCGGTATTCGTACCGGAACTCCGAAAAATCGGGCCGGTCTGGTTTTTGCCGGACATGTCCCCGTGTCACTTCTGTTCAGGTATCCAAATGCCACACAGTGCACATGACTGCTTTATTCCTGTAATTAAAACCTCTCGCACAGCAAAAACTTTATAAACACAGTAAATTACACAATGCGCACAGCTGTCACTTTCATATTTTGATGTGCTCATGGGAAATGTTGACTGACATTTAGGTCATGCTGATAGGGTCATCCTTATAAAATTGTTTGCAGTAACACAACCCAGAAATTTCAAGGTGGGTAGTTAGGTGGATTTTGATATTGGCCTTGGCATCACACTCTGGTTATATTTTTGCATGCAAGTTAGTATCTTCAAAACAACTGAAGGGAATTTTACTTGTTCCCTTTGATTATCTCCTCTTTGATTATCTCATATGATTATCCCATAACTCAGAGTTACCTTTAAACTGAGAGTCATGCCCCTTTTCTTACGGATAAGCACAGAATAGGCTAGCATACTGTCTTACAGGCGGCCCTTTTCTAGCAATTTCAACTTGAATCAAGTTGTCCAGAAAACAAATTATGATGTATATTGTAGATGCTGCACGTCTCCTTGTAGCCTTGTAGATGCTGCACGTCTCGTGACTACTTCATTGTCACTTATTTCTATTATTAGAAAATTTATATTAATGAACAAATTGCAAGGGAAGCCAGTCAGTGGCTCACAATGCTAGTGCTACATTTAATACAGTAGCTATATTGTGTTTTAATAACTTTGATAAACATTCTACAGTTTTCTTCTTGGTTAAGTATCTAGACCAAACTGGTGGCCAATGATACCATTAAACAATTTTTTTTTGTAGTCCCTTACCATGAAACATGTGAGTTTTAGATAGAAGAAGAAAATTTTCTTTGTCAACAAACTAATATGCTTCTACATGACCAGGAGTTACAGTAAATTTTGTCTACTAACTGCTTTCTAAATATTTAAGAATTAGTGTTTGAAATTATTTTTTTGTCCAATAAGATTGCAGTATTATATAAATTATATATATTTACTTTGGTTAATATCAGTCTAGTAAATCAACTGTTTAAAAACAATAATTTTTAACAATAAGGTGGTTAAAATTTATTAATACATATTTACAAAATTAATAAAAGCCATAATCCTAGGTATACATACATGGAATTATAATTTATTAATTTAGAGGTTAACCACAATCTAATTCAATATATGAATAACATTGTATAAGAGCAGTCTCAGTGTCAGTTGATGTTAAACAAGTGCAAAGCAAAAACCACTAACAAACTTTGCACTGAAGGTTCCATTTTGGTAAATAGTAATTTTGCATAGCTGTGATTTTTTTAGAAACTAAAGAAAAACATTTAGATTTCCCTAGACTTGTTTATTGTTTAATGTTGAGTTTTGGCTGTATTTTGATTATTTAATTATGATTCTATAAATGATTGTCTTATGCATAGACATACATAATGATTGTACATGTATTGTGATTGTAATACTATGTTGTTTGTTAATTTAATACATTGTACAAATTTTGTGTCCTATTTCCTGGCAGATGATGAGATTATATTTGTATCAAAAATAATAAATGTGAGCTATATTATTTAATTACCACTTATTTCTCTACTGAACTTTTTAAATCATGTTTGTATACAACATTTTATCATGCTTAAACAAGAAGTTTAATGTTCACAATGTTAGAATATAATTATGTAAGGATAGTAATCAATCCATCATTAATTAGCAGTTGCTTTATTCAAATTTGAACATTTATTTCCTTGCCAGATTGGTGTACTTATTATGCTTGTATAGCTAATGTTGATTGTAATTTATAAATCTCTCTATATGTAAAAGAATGATTTAACATTTGCCTCTGTATTTTACATTATGTGTATTTTATTCTGAAACTGTTATTATGAAAAGATTAAATTGTTAAATGTGCGAATATGTTCTGTTATTCTTTTTTAAAGAACCCTTTTTGTACTTTAAATAATACAATGTATAAAGTGAGATTGTGAGAAATAAGACAGCATGTAGTTGTGCTACCTGCTAGCTTTATTCTGTCATAGGCCGACTATGATGTCTTCATATTGTTGAAAGTAAAAGAAGAAATTCTTTTTTTGCAAAAAGAACTTTTCGTTTAAATGAGATGTATGGGCATGCACAGAGCAGTACTTCGCAATGGTGGAGTAGTTTCATGTTGTGTGACATGATTGAATATTTAATCAATTGTAATAATCATTGTAGATTGAGATATGTTATTAATTTGCAAAGTTTTGCAAGTAATATTGGACAGAAAGAATTATAATAATGTATTTTACATGTGAAATTTCATAGAATTTTTACTTATAGTAGGAGAAAACTCTTATTTTATCACAACACTTGGGAAGTTGAATATTGACAGAAAATGTCCGAACGTAGAAAAACAGGAAAGATGATGAACATGTTCCATCTCAAAAAGAACATGTAAAGAGAAAAAGGGATGATCCAGAATCATCACCAGAGGCACAAAATGAAAAAGGGGGTAGTAAAGGAAAACTACCTTTGAAAAATACGAAAAAACTAAATGTAAAATCATAAGAAAACAATGCTAGTTCATGTCACATGAAAAATATGGTACAAAGATTAACAGATACATCTAGTTCAATTTTAAGTGTAATAGCTGTTTTACAGGCGAACTTGAATAAAACTAATGAAAAAATATGTCAGCATGATTAATAATTGGCAAATCAAGCAAAAAAATTAATTTTAATGCCTTACAACATATATATAGTAATTGATCTCTCTATACAGTTATCATATCAAATTGTTTTCTACACTGACCCTTTACACATGTATTTAAATAACAATAGAATGATATAATCACAATCATTGACATGGGCTCTTTTATATGATGTGGTGAAGTAGACTTACTCTGGAATTAAAAATATTTCGTTTTTTTCCCAGCTAATCCATAGGTACTAACAAACTTTACAGTTACAGCTTAGAAAATAAGCAACACAGGTTGTCTTATCTATTGTAATGGGAAGTGGAATGTGAGGCTTAATGGTAAAAGTTTGTACCTACAGGTTAGCTGCGAAAAACCCACAATTTCCAAGTTCCGGATAACGTCAATTCTTATCATTATCCATTAATGTGATAATTGTCCCCCACCTTTTCAAAGAAAAAAGGGGGATATAGAAATAGGCTTCGTCAGTCTGTCTGTCCGTCAGCTCCCACGGGACAGTAATAATGTTGCTAGAGGGACAATAGGTAACTGTTCTTTCTCTTTGATGTCATTCATTCTGTAATGCTTTTATGTGGCTTTTTTCTTTTATGTGGCTGAAAAGAACAATAGAGCAGCCACATTATTACTGTCTCGTTAGAACTTCCGTCTGTTCATCACACTTTTGAAAATACTTGGCACAGTCACATTAATAAGACGATGAGTCATCCTACCTCCAAGTTCAAGGCCACACTCACAGGTCAAAAATTAACATAAGTCTGTTATAGGGTATATTTTATGTCAGGTCTATAACTTCTTCATAGATCAATGGATTTTGAAAATACTTGGCACAAATAGTCACTATACTAAGATGATGTGTCATGTGCAACACCTGCATCCCTACCTCCCAAGGTCAAGGTCACACCTAGAGGTCAAATATTGACAGTCTGTTATAGGAATAATTTTGTGTCCAGTCTATAAGTTCTTCATAGCTCAAGGGATTTTGTAAATACTTGGCACAAATGTTCACAATAATGAGACATGCCATGTGCAATAAGCACTCTTACACTAAGGTCAAGACAAAGATTAATATAGTCTGTTATAGGGTACATTATGAGTTCGGTCTTTCAAGATCACACTTACAATTAAAAGATATCATAGTCTGTGTTTTCGAATCCAGAGAAGAACTTCAAAAGTATTAGAGATAGACTCTGTATAGGATAATTGTTCCCTGCCTTTTGGAAGAAAAAAGGGGGATGTAGAAATGGACTCCATCTGTTTGTCCCATCAAAGAATTTTGAAATAACTTGGCTAAAATGTTCTGTTTAGGCATAATAAGTCAGCCTGTCTTGTGCACCTGTTAGATGCCTTTGGACTAAAATGCTTGATCCATATTTCAATTTTTTGAAATAGCACAATTTTATGCTTCATTTAATACTTTCCTAAGACGGGGGAACGTTGGTAACTCTGTTACAAATTCTTGTTTGATCTGAACAGATAAAGGTCATGAACTTTATACTTCAAACAAAACAAAGGCCATGCCATGGTATAAAGCATCATTCATTTTCCCACGTTATCTTCTCTTTGTATACTTTGAAAATAGGTATGTTAACCTTTTTTGTCAAGTGGACGTGTCTGTTCACTGTTCAGTTAGATTCAGTCAAAATACACTTACAGAATCATTGACTTTCTCTTACCCAGTAGGGTAGCTTTAGTACATGACCAAATATGTGACTTTTGTCTGTTGTCTGTTAATGTAAGTCAGTAAAACCAAGATGTCATAATTGAATGAAATACATAATACTAATCCAATACTGGTATCCATCTCTTTATCAGTTTTACATAGTTTATTTTCAAGAAACTGACTAGTCTCATAGACTTATTTTTAAACTGACTATTGTATACACCTGGAAGGTAAATATTATAGTAAAGCAAAGGACAAGAAAAACAGCTCATCAGATTATAAGATTTTTTATTCCATTCATGGAAAGTAATCACTGTCAATACTGACACTCTAAATCCATAAAAACAGTATACACATATAATGAAAACATTATAAAAACAATGTACTGGCAACAGTCTTTATACAAATAAACTCAAGTATATTTCACAATTTCATAAAAATGCAAAATCTTTTAACAGTAAAGCTATTTTCAATTATCCTACTCGGATACAAAATTTCAGACTATGATGTAAATCATATACCTGTCTATATAATACAACTACATTTAAGTTTATATAACATTATACACAGCAATTCAACACACCACAAGACTTTTGTAATGTATGTAAAATTAAGCCAGATTTCAAGGCCTATATTCACCAAGACTTTTGTATCTTAAGTTAAACCAAAGTGTTTAAAAATATTAAATATTGAACACTGTCATTGTTAAGTATGCACAGATTGTAAAATGTATATTATCACAACTATAGATGCCTATTAAAAAGTTTATGGTATGAACTCCTTCCCTACTAGAATGGAAAGTGATATAATCCTTAATTGTCACCAAACTCACACAGTGATTATCTCCCTTAGCAGACTGTAATCACTGCCTTCACATGATGAAAAAAGTCACATGACGTTACATCGAAATTCAAATGTAAATATCAACCTTAAATTACAGAAAATCTAATGTAATCTAATGTAATTTCTCTTTCTGTTTTATTTTTAACTTTCATACCTACTTTTGATACAGTTTATCAGAAAATTATCAAAAGTAAACAAAATAATGAAAAATAAATTAAAAAGCTAAAAAATGTTAAATAACAAAATATGTATTGTTAAAAAAATTTGAGGTGGCAGAGATCAACTGATAAGGGGAGATCACTGCATAGGAGATAGAATTGCCACCAGTATAGAACGTGCAGTCTGACCTGGTTCTACTGTTGATAGCTCATTTTTTTTGTATTTTGATACTGATATCTTTTAAACTTTAAATGGACTGTTCCAAATTCAAAACAGTACATATCCATTTCACAAACTCAGCAGATTTATGGTTAAAGTGACATTATGCTCATTTTTTAGTTGAAATTGTGATAAATTTAAAAAGAATGGCTATTATAACAGTGACTGACCATTAATTAATAAAATGTTTATGAAACAACATAAAAACTATAAGCAATATAAAAAGACTGTCCAAATCTTTTTAAGAATTGAGTTACCAATAAATTCTGAACGATATTTATAGAAATTTCTGTCAGTCACTTGGATAAAATTTTTTTCATAGTAAAATATAATATTGAACAATATAATGGCAAAATGTAAAGTTATTTTCATTTTTACTTGTTCACTGACCTTTTACACGGGGATGGACATAACATCACTTTAAATTCAGATCAACAAATAATATAATCATTGAAAAAGAAGCATCTTCGTGTAACATAAGATTAAAATATTGGTGGATACAGGACTCTATTTATCTTATCTCTCTCATTGTAAATTTACACAAAATATAATACAACAACTGATTATTTATTTAATCATTAAAAATCAACAATTTTTGTTGTGTCAACACAGAAAGGTAGACAACCCATTTTAAAATGCAAATACTTAATACACTTAAGTAAACAATGTAACTTTTACTAGTTTGCACATTACAAGTAAAAGAAAATAATATTTGTAGAACATACAGGTGGCATTGTGAAAAACAGGAATGAAACTTTTTGTATGGTAAACACATAATTCTTTTTTTTTCTGTCTCTCTTTTTTCTTTTTAAGTAACTGTGCAATATTTTTTTTTACACATAGCCAAATAACATAGAAATAACTTATTATAACTCATTATAAATTGTATTTGAGTCCCGCAAAGTTGCCCTATTTCATCATGGTATGGAATTTATCACTTTAAATTAAGTGATTTTTACTTTTGTATCTTTACCCTTTCAACGTACTAGTAAATCTCACCTGAATGCAGATTTTGTAGGGAAAAAGAAAGGGTTGCTTTCCTTCTTCCAAATATGCCAATTTCTACATTTCTAATATTTCATTATGTCAGAAGTTCATTTGAGAATTTACATATTATGTTAGCATTTTATGCTAATGGGAAAAATTTAGAAATTAGTGTTAGCTACAATGTGTCACTCTAACAATATATGTAAATAACTATAGAAACACATTTAAAATCATTGACTTAGATTTCACACAATACTGACTCTTTTAACTCTATCTAAAAATAATAGAACACAAAACACATTGGCACTAAAAATTTAAAACACAACATTTTTTAAAAACATTTTAGTGCCCCTATAAGTGAAAAGCATGAAATTAAAATTCATAATATCAATATTTGCGTAAGTCTTCAAAACAAGGAACATTCTGATCAACCTAAAACATTTTTTTTGTCAGACATGACAATTTTTTTTAATATGATTAAAATTTTAAATAAAAAAATTAAAAATTAAAGAATCTTAGTTTTACTAAATTCAACACATACACATTTAAAACTAACATGAAAAAGCACCTTAAATGTATAACAAAGGATAAAATAGTGGATGAAAATATTACATGATGTTGCACAATCAATGTGTAGTAAAATAGCTCGACAAAACACTGAAAATACATCCAATCTACAAAATTTCAAGTAGAATTTTTAAAATAAAACTCTAAATAAAAAATATGCGATAATGAAATATACAATAAAACAAAAACAAATATCTTTTGATAAATGTATTGAAAATACACAATGCACAATGAATGTGGATTGTAAGTGTCCCATGCCAGCTGAAATTACTTTATTTGTTCATTTGACAATACACATACAGTTATGTACTTAAATAATTAATTAAAAATGCCCGGATATCTTTTAGAAACAAATTAAGCATGGATTGGGAGGTACCTCCTGTACTCAGTATGCTTTTTAGCATATTTTTCCATTTCATTCTTATTGACTTTCAAATGGCTTTCAGCTAAATACTGGTCAAATATAATTGAAATACACATGTATATATACATATTAAATGCCATTTATAATTTTAATATATAACAAATATAGAAAATACAATATGCTTTAATCAATTCAGATATCTGCAAATACTTTATCTAAGATAATACATTGATATAAATTTCTTGAAATAAAAATGTCGGGTATAACAGGAGAATAATTAGATGTTCACTAACATTTTTGTTTTGTCTAACACGGTAAATACAAACTTTTTGAAACTTGGAATTTCAATTACAGTGATGATATTATATTTAATGCTATGATTGCTCTGGGAATATTAACTTTCCCATGTCATCAATATACAGCTGTCTGACCAGGCTATATAATGCAGGCTGACCTGGTTCTGTCAAGGCTATTTTAAGGTCATATTGCAACTTTACAAGTGGAGACAGACCTCTGTGGTACACGAATAGAACCAATAGATCTGCCTGAAGTTCGGTAGATAACTCCCACAGTTTCAACACTTAAAAGATCCTTTCTGGCAGGATTCAAACCCACAGTGATGATCGAAAAGATATTTGAAGTTAGATACCTTAAATTCTTGATACATTTGATATACCAGTAATAAAATTCAATGAGATGACAATTTAAAACAATATACTATCAAATCTCTCCCTCCTCCCTTAATTCTTTACCAATGTAATAACACTCTACATTTCAAACTGCTGAAGACTGTTCTTTCTGTGCATAATATTATCTTGTTCAGTCAGCAATCAGAAGCACCACTCTGAAACTTCACACTCAAAGCCATTCAGTTTAGTGCCTATAGAAATATCTTTGCCATTTTAGAATGTAACATAAAGGAAATATATCTGAATAAATTTCTTTCTTAGTTACATAACAATACAAAGTTCAATTTCTGATTGAATATTACATTAAGCCCTTGGCCTGTAAACTTCAAGAGACTATTTTTTCAGCAGGAATACTATTGTCTGTGTTCGGAACTGGTGGTAATGGGCGTAGACCTAGAGAACTGTTGTTGTCAATTTCATCCAGTCGGTTGCTGTAGATGTGAATTTCTGGACTCTTAGACTTCTCCACTGGTGTAGTATTATTCAATTTATTGTCATAGTGTACTGGTGTAACATATATGTTTGAAGACTTCAAGTCGTGAACACTTCCGGTTGCGCCACCTTTCAAGTTTTTTAAGTTATCGGTGCTTCCTCCAGAACATCTTGCCGGGTTTGTCTCGTTACCAACATTTTCCATGCTATTCATGCTGTTACCTCCACTCATTTCAATATATTCGCTCTCTTCCCCACGTCTCCTTGCTGCACAATAACCGGAAGTAGCCCCCGCTGCTTCGCTAGGTGAATTTGCTACTATTCCGGCAAGATTTCCGGCAGACGAAGCTCCCCCTGTGTACACAAGGGGAGCAGTTTCTGACACATTAGACACATTTTGATCATCCAAACGACTTGAGTTAGCAAGATTTCGGTTGTCCAAAATTGTGTCTTTATTCACAACATCATAGACTCGGTCAATTTCAACAGGATCCAAGTAAATGTTGCTGACCGGACGCACATTTGATTGGGCGATATCTATATCTACACTCCCATCGCCTGATTGGTCACGTGATATATCTTGCATAATAGTTGCATAGCCAGTGTTTTGGAATCTTGCTGCCATTCGCTGTTTTCTCTTCTCAAATTCTCTCCTCTGGTGTACACTGAAATAAATGAAATATTAACATCAGAGTAATATTAGAAGTAACAATCAATTTATAACACAAGAACATTATAGAATGAAAAACACTGACAATTACATCAGTCTGGAAGCAGAAAACAAGTTAATATATATATGAAAGTGGCTCATAGACCGCATTAAAATTTGTCTACTTGAATTATAAATTGTACTTCAAAACATACTTGAATCATTGTAGGCTACATTTTTGGAATAGCTTTTGTTTCTCATAAAATATCCACTAAGCAGCATCTCAAAAGTAAAGAAATCAAATCTCTGATTAAAAACTTAAAAGCTGCAAAAATGTTAAAAGAGCTTTTAAATTTACCAATAAACTTAACAAAACTGAACTGTAACTTTAAACTTGGAATTCAATCAATTCTTTCTTGTATCATTTATTCATGCAAAGCTGCCACCAAGACAGATGTTAATGGCAAATGGAAAATATCTGTTTATTTTTCAGATGACTGCATACAAGTGAAAGAAAAAGTACATTCGACAAAAAAAAACTGAATAAATGTTTATTACGAGAAGAATGACCTTCAACAAAAAGTTTTTGCTGCATTACTGGAATGTTAAACGTAGAATGGTTCTGTCGAGTTATTGATAAAATAATATTACCAATTCAAATTGTCAAGTTAATGTAGATTTCTGCACGCTTATGTCAAATTTCTGATGCTAAATGGCTTTTATATGTTTGAATAATGCAAAACTATTGGTTGTGTAGGAAAAAATATTCCCAGTATTTCAGGGAATTTATTCAAGCAGATTCTTGAAAAGATATAACTTGCACTAGTGTTTTCTCATGACATGAATGAAAGTTTCAAAATGTACTTTCATTTTCGTTTTTTATTAGCTGACTGAGACACTCAGTTTGAAACCAATTATATAAAAGTTACAGACATTAATTTTTATTATTCTGAGATAAAATCTGGTATGGAGATTTTGAAACAATTTGAGTTTTTTGAAATAAGAAATTCTGCAAGTCAAACATTTTGTTTTAACCATCAAAAGATGAATGAACATTGAGTGAGTGTAGGTTTAATATTGTATTTTTTGGCCGAGTTTAATAAAATCATCTTATGCGAGCCTCTGGCAAGCATAATATTGTTTTATTCAACGCGGTCAATAAATTTAGTATTAAATCTTAAGGAATATGATCTTTTATTTTATCACATATCTAAAATAAGAACAGTAGACGGTAAAAAAAGTCATTTTTTATTGACGAGCTTATAGTGTTATGCTAACATAAGCGAGCTTCTATGCTATGTATGTATTTAATGCAGTTGACATCATGTTGCATGCTGGTCATTAATTTAAAATTTCTTCTGTATGTTTTTTTAATTTTAAAGCTTTTGGTAAATTTGATTTAGTGTAAAAGTGATTGGTGCTTTTTTTTTAAAACTGCATGCCTACAATGAGCCAAAAAAATTTTATGAAAAACAAACTTTAGAAAAATATACAAAGATTTTAACAAAAATTTAAGAAATTTTGCACCTTTAATGATAGATGTATTAACCATTAGTGTGAGCACGGACTTTTATTTAAGTCTGTGGTGTGAGCAGAAAGTAAAAATGACAAACTTCTGAAAACCCTGAATTTAGCATTATTGTCATCAACTGTAATTATATAGAAAAAGATGGCTTCAATGAGTATTGTTATCCTGATATTCAGGAATAGTTGTGAAAACTTATAACAGGTCAGACAGCTTTCTCAAGTGAAATAATTCAACCATAATCTTAGCAAAATGTTTTAGCTACAATTGAATAGAGGTCAGGGACATCAACTAATGAAATTTTATCAATTTTCATGAGTGTTTCATAGCCTCAAACAAAATAATTTGTCATCCTCGAAAAAAACAAGTACTTAAGTGTTCAAATACCAATGAAATTTAATATTCATGAAATAATATGGGTAAAAATCTGTAAATCTTTTGTTGGGTTAAATCCTACAAAAGGCAAAAAATGCAACATTACATGCAAACCACTGTATCTTTCTCTAAATCCGATATGTTGATGCAATCACCCCCTCACATTCTACAGATATTTCATGCATGTTGCGAAACATGATATTATAATATGAAATAATAAGACACGTCTGCACAGATTACAAGTAGGCACTTAGAGATAAAGTTTCGGGGCGAGGGAATGCTGCACAAACAATCAACCCATTATCACAAAGTTTACAGCTTCTTTTTTTATATTCTTTTCAGGATCCTGGTGTAATTTCCCCAAGTTAGAGCTATTTACAAGATAAACTGTTTATATGATAGACCTCAATATAATAGCTTACAATCTTCTGACAGCAGAAATAATGACTTCATAGGAATGTAAACTTCTGTCTGGTTCTAGAATATTACTTCAAAATGAATATTTATGTAACATACCACAGTCAACAAATTATAGACTTGTTCTAAAATTTAAAATTTCAATGACTGGTTGCAAAACTACTCAAAATACCACAGACAACATAGTGTAGACTTGTTCTAGATGTCTGATTTGTGGATGTTAAATTACCAGACAACAAATATCACTGATTAGTTTCTGAACCTAACATACCAGACAACAACCTGTAGACTTGTTTTAGATTTTAAAATTTCATTGACTGGTTTCAATATGTAACATACTACAGACAAACAAACTGTAGACTTGTTTTAGATTTTAAAATATCATTGACAGATCCACCAATCAATCAATCTACAAACTAGTCAATCTATTATGAATGTTCTACTTACTGTTTCTTGTTCAGGAAGTAAACAACAGCACAAACAATAACCAGCAAGGCCACACCTCCAATTATAAGACCAATTATAGCCACTGTAAATATATAAATATACATAAATGTTTATAACTAGATGGGAGTATGTCAATATGAAATGATGGCCATTACTTTAAATATCAAGTATGTGTAGTTATACTTTATATATGATATAATATTGCAATAAAGATTCTGCTAAGTTAATTAAGTCTACAATTACTATACAACTAATTGAGCAGATGATGAAATAAATAAACATAGTACAGGATGAAATCCAATTACAACTTGTTTATGAAACAAACTTTATATATATAATCAACTTATACATATTTACATTTCTCTATAAAGAATGGTAATTTCTGGCAAATTAGATATAATTTGAGTCGATTGTTCTATATTTTGTTTGTTATTACTTTGATAATATCATTTGTTAAGGCCAGAAAAATGAAAATGGAGAACAGTCATAAAATCTGCTTCTCCCATTGGTCCATTTAAAGCATGTGCTATGAAATAAACCAATTAGATGCTAAAATTTCAGGCGGGCGGGTGTTCAACTTCCAGAACAGTCATTAACCATGGGATTTGCTTACAGTTATATAATTTAAAACTTGATAAACCAGATGGTTAATATTTTGTACAGATACCAAGTGTTATAATTTTATTCACAGCTACAAATACAAAACAGATTTGTTTAATGAACAACGGGACTTTTGTTCCAGCTTTGGTCAAACAAATATCACTCTATTTCTATCTTATAAACAAGGATATTTTCTTCCATGGTTATATACAAAACCCTTAATGTATACTGATAAATTATGCATTGAAAGCTATACTGACAAAATAAAACAATTATGAAAGACATACATTATGTTTATAATCAAAGTTTCCCTGGAGAATGAATAAAAAACTTCTTACTGTTCATTTTTACAATACAATTTTAACATCCACAATTAGAAATGGGATATTTCAAAAAGTAAAACATTATGTAATTAACTCGTGCAAGTAAAAACTGTATCCAAAAGGAGCTATTCAACTTATAAGATCATCTTATGGCAACTGAATCGTTAACAATAAAGGGCAGTAATTGTCAGTATTGTACAGGAATGTGTTTGAGGGCCAAGATCTAAAGGTAATTTTAAATGGCTGTTGAGAGGATGTAAGGAGTATTTAGAACAATAGAACAAGAACTGTCGGAGGACAGTAACGCTCGACTATTCGAAAATTTGTCACAAGGGTGTTTCATTGAGTATAATAATGCTTACCTATATGAATACATAAAATTGTCCGAAAAGATACAAACTCTTCAAGTTTCAATACATTCCCTTCAGTAGTTATGGAGATACAAGCTTACATGCAAAAACTTAACCAAGAATTCATGAGTCGAAAAAGGGGCATAATTATGTAAAAAAGCAAATCAGAGTTATGGGACTTGTGCCAATCATCTTAGATAATCACAGAGAACAAGTGTGTGAAGTTTCAATCCATTCCCTTCAGTAGTTATGGAGATAAAAGTTTACATACAAAAACTTAACCAAGAATTTCTTAGTCGAAAAAGGGGCATAATAATGTAAACAAGAGCTGTCCGTAAGACAGCGCGCTCGACTTTTTTATTGCTTGCCAATAAAAAAAGTTTTTGCAGTAAAAGGCAATACAAGAATCTCTGTATTTTTAAAGTGAACAATGGCCATGAGCATTAAGATATTTAGTGAAGAATTATTTTACTGAATTGTGTGATACCCTTGAACACTGCAGCAAAGTTTGAAATGTTTAAGTCAAAAGAGGGCTGGTAAGAAAGAAAAAAAAACTGAGTTGAGCCTTAAATAAATTTTATTCTAAGTCGATAAAAGGCCTTAATTTTTAAAACAAATCCTTGACAGAGTTACCTTCTCTTGCGTACAGATGGGGGTAATGATGTGAAATAGCATTAAAAGTTTCAAAGCAATATCTCAAAGGGTTAAGGCAATAAGTGGATTTTACCCATATTCAATGTATTTTCTAAGTCAAAAAGGGGCATAATTCTGTCAAAAACCTTGACAGAGTTATGTCCTCTTGTCTGTTGATGAAGGTCGTGATGGTAAACAAGTATGGTCAGTTTCAAAGCAATACCTCCAATGGTTTTGAAATAAAGTGAGGTGGTACAAAAAACTTAACCAAGCTCAATACACTTTCTAAGTCAAAAAAGGGCCATAATTCTGTCAAAAACCTTGACAGAGTTATGTACTCTTGTCTGTAGATGGAGGTTATGATGGTGAACAAGTATGGTAAGTTTCAAAGCCATACTTGTAATACTTCTGAAATAAAGTGGGGTGGTACGAAAAACTTAACCAAGGTGTGACGCCAACGCCGACGCCGACGCCGGGGCGAGTAGGATAGCTCCCCTTTTCATAGAAAAGTCGAGCTAAAAAGCAAATCAGAGTTATGGGACTTGTGCCAATTATCTTAGATAATCACAGAGAACAAGTGTGTGAAGTTTCAATCCATTCCCTTCAGTAGTTATGGAGATACCAGCTTACACGCAAAAACTTAACTAAGAATTTCTAAGTCGAAAAAGGGGCATAATTATGTAAAAAAAGCAAATCAGAGTTATGGGACTTGTGCCAATCATCTTAGATAATCACAGAGAACAAGTGTGTGAAGTTTCAATCCATTCCCTTCAGTAGTTATGGAGATACCAGCTTACATACAAAAACTTAACCAAGAATTTCTAAGTCGAAAAAAGGGGCATAATTATGAAAAAAAGCCAATCAGAGTTATGGGACTTGTGCCAATCATCTTAAATTAATCACAGAGAAACAAGTGTGTGAAGTTTCAATCCATTCCCTTCAGTAGTTATGGAGATACCAGCTTACATACAAAAACTTTACCAAGAATTTCTAAGTCGAAAAAAAGGGGCATAATTATGAAAAAAAGCAAATCAGAGTTATGGGACTTGTGCCAATCATCTTAGATAATCACAGAGAACAAGTGTGTGAAGTTTCAATCCATTCCCTTCATTAGTTATGGAGATACCAGCTTACATACAAAAAACTTAACCAAGAATTTCTAAGTCGAAAAAGGGGCATAATTATGAAAAAAAGCAAATCAGAGTTATGGGACTTGTGCCAATCATCTTAGATAATCACAGAGAACAAGTGTGTGAAGTTTCAATCCATTCCCTTCAGTAGTTATGGAGATACCAGCTTACATACAAAAACTTAACCACAGGGACGCCGACGCCGACAAATGGGTGACTGCATTAGCTCGATTATTCTGCGAATAGTCGAGCTAAAAATGGCCACATATAACTATATCAGGGGTTGTAGCTTACATTTATCATCTTTTTCAACTGTTAATGGAGCCCCAGTGTTCACATGTTGTCCTGTGTAAGTCTTTTCTTCTTCCATTGCTGAAATACAAAAAAAATATAAAAAATAATGATACAAAATTTATGTATATACAGAAAACTCCACCTTAACTTATCTATATATTGGTTAGATCGATGCACCTGCTCTACTTGGAGCAGCTCTCATAAGCTTATAATGATAATTGGAATGCAGTTATCATTATAAGCTTATGAAAGCTGCCCCAAATACATGTATATCAATATAAATTTTAATCTTGTTGTAGATTAGCAGTTTTCTGTCATAATGTATAATAATCATCAGCTTGACAGGCAACATGCATTAACATAATAACATTAATTTTTGTCTATAAAAGTTCATGATTTTCACTTGTCAAATATTTGATGGTTTTGCTAATAAACCCAGTTACACGAGTACTAAGCACTTCATAATTATATTCAGTTACATATCACTATAGGAAGTACACACAATGGGATATAACAATATAACTTAAGGATGTTTCAATATTTATGTTCTGAAAGTCCTTAGAATATCCATATACATCGTAACTGAATTAACTGTATAGTATTAAATGATTTTCTTACAATGAATGAAGAGAATATTTTTTTCTTATATTAAAATACAAGAGAATCAAGATGGCATATATATTGAACGGTTAATTTGTTAGCACAAATTTTGCTTATTAGTGAACGATTTTGTCTTTTTTTCACAATATGTTATCTGATTATTACTTAGATACATGTAGATAAAATCATTAAAACAATTTTTTTAGATCAATACAAGAGGTTATATAAAATTTTAGACTTTCTAGTTGAATAATAACTGGGTTTGCCTGAAATTGCCTCTATGTGTATAAATAAGCACACAATGGTGACATTGGTAAAACCATTGACACTTCAGAATGAATTTAATAGCTTCCTCATGAAATGACTTTCAAGTTAAAATCAGTGTCAAGCAAGTGATTGGAAATCCTTGCCCTTCACCCTTCAACCTTGACCTGAAGAGGCTGCATAGATAAATAGCTGAGCATATATTTATATAATATACACAGTCACTATTCAAACCATTGCTAAATGTCAAACATTTTATAAGGATACTGATTCATTTTAGACATTAAGCCAAATAGAAAATTAATTGATTTGGCAAATTTAGGAAATAGAAATACCAGTGATGACTAGTCACTACCTATAACAATTATTCTGATCATAATTCAGTTATCTCCGTCAGTTTTGCTGACTCACTGATTTCATTTTTTTCTATTCTATGCCAGTTGGTCATTGTGAAATAACGTTGTTAAAGATGAGTAATCCTGGCACAGAATCTCTCGCAGGAGGAACATATAATGTCTGTATCACCAATGATGTGAGGCAGGAATAATCAATATACTCTAACAAGTTTCTATACTGACTAATATACCAATAACCTTCACCATACTGTATCAGTGAAATACCTATACTGTACAGTCTAAGAAACTGGAAAATTGGAAAGACATCAATTAAAGCAGAACAAGGATGCTGTTTCTTTGCTGTTTTTTTTTTTTTTTTTCTGTAATCTATGCTGTAAGATAATCAACACTTACATAATCACGTAAACTAGAACTGGTGATGGCGAAAAAATTGGAAACTTGTCAAAACATAGAACCAGGATCTGAGAATTATACAATCTACGCCCAAATTGACATTCTAAATTTGTAACAGAGGGCATGATTAGCTAATTTACATAAACAAGATCTTGGTCACATGATTTTTTTCTTACTTGTAAGAAAAAAAAACAAGAATAAAGATCAACAAGGCAAAGGCAACGTTCACAGGACGCAGGCCCCTGACACACCCAAGTAGGGCACCCAGAAGGCACCAAACAAAACCCCGGAGTGGACACAAGTGGGACATGTAATATGTGAAATAATATAAACTAAAACAGGCCCATATGGGAAATACATCTCATAAAATTTAATGTCAAAATAAAATCAAACTGTTCCAATAATATTTCATGGAATGACTGTCTAAAATACTCCTTTGAACTATAGAATACAAACAGCAGAGACAGAAAGTCTACAAAAAAAAATCAATCAATGAAATAATAATATATTACTCATACAGTCCAAGAATTGACATCAATGACATCATATCAATTAAGTCAATTGATATAGCCGATGAACCATCATGGGAATTCTACTACTATACAACAATAAAAACCTACGCAATACATTATAAAATCCTTGACCTCCAGTTATTGTACTTTTACCACCAAAATATTATAAGGTCTATACTGATTATACTGAAACAATATTGTTATTTAGTAATCAAAATTATAAAAGGTCATGGTCAAAAGATTAAGCTTTTTACATGTGAAAAAAAATTCAATAGCACCAAAATTTTCATTTGTTTGACTGGGTTTTACGTCACACCAATACAGTATAGGTCATGTGGCGACGTACCAGCTTTACTGGTGGAGAAAGACCTCGGGTGCCCTTCCGTGCATTATTTCAGGCACGAACAGGCACCTGAGTAGAACCACCAACGTTCCGTGAGCTAGCTGGATAGCTTCCTCACATAAAAGAATCCAAAGTCCCTGTAGGGATTCAAACCCACAGGTGAGGGGCAAGCGGTTTGAAGTCAACACCCTTAACCACTCGGCCACGGACGCCCCCGCACCAAAATGTAACTTGTACAAAATGGAGTGCCAATTTTGAATTCTTATTTTGAAAAGTAATTGATAACTATGGTTACGGAAGAAATCAAATGGCTGTTTATATCAGCCACACAGTTAATATTTATATATGAGAGACTACCATATTTTCTCTATGATGTAATGAGTATAAGCAAGAATCCAACTTGAAGCCTCTTCTCTCAATCAAAAACTTTATTGAAATTTTATTCTCCGCATAAAATATTTATTAGATTACAAAGCAGCACAAAAACCAATTGTCTTTAAAAATCTGACCTTTGACCTTAAATCCTTTCTATTGACCCTACAAGGGCAAAAATTCAAGAAGGAAATATTTATAGTATTGGTATCAGTGTTAATACTTACATCTTTATGATTATTACCTCAGTATGTTCTAATAATAACATAGCTACATAGACACATTAATAGGAAGCAATTTAGCTGTGGTCAGCATTAATTATCTAACATAGATTACTAGCCAGGTAGAACATACAGGTCGCCATTGTATCAATACCTGTAATTAAGTTGTACAGTTAATATAGGAAAAAAAATAAGCAAAAATAGAAACAGTATATAACATATATTTATATTAATGCCTCCATAACTTTTTTTTATCATATGAAATCATGTAAAAACCCTTCCAAGTTTGCTAAATAATGATGTCACAACTTAAAACTAAAAAGATGAAATTTTACTTTCATATTTTACCTTAGTACCACTGGGATCTAAATTAAGTACAATATTTTAACCGCTTCACGACAAAACCAACATAGTGCGTTTGCAACCAGCATGGATCCAGACCAGCCTGCGCATCCGCGCAGTCTGATCAGGAACTATGCTGTTCACTATCAGTTTCTCTACTTGTAAAAGAGTTCGTAAGCGAACAGCATGGATCCTGATCAGACTGTGCGGATGCGCAAGCTGGCCGGATCCATGCTGGTCGCAAACCCATTATGTTGGTTTTGTCGTGACGCGGCTCATTTAATTTTTACTAGATTTCAACACAAATATACAAATTCAATATACAACAAAGACCCTGCCTTAAGACTTCCCAGTTACAAAAAAAAGTTTATTTTAAGTCTGTCTCAAGTTTCCCATTCAGATCAAATTCAATTTAGGGTTGCAGTGTTCCTGGGAGCTAGTAAATGCAAGTAGTGTATTGATTCAATAGAACATTATACCAATTTAAATTTCAGAGAGACAGAATACAAAATATTTTCTTTTAAATAAATAATTCAAAAATTTGACAATGCAGACAGAAAGCAAATAACTGTCTTCCTACAATATGACAGCAATCATTTATTCATATTATTTCATAAAGTGTCTGACAGTCTCTTTTTATTTTATACTTCCTACAGATATAATGTTTCATAGATGCCAGACATGATTTTGACCTTGACCACTAAGGTCAGTCTAAAAAAATTCTTGGTTTACCTCCCTTTACCCATACTTATTTTGGAAGGGTAGGTAGGACTGGTAGGTATAAAATCGGCTAGGAATATCTGTGTATCTTTTAATTTCATTCTTTTTGACCAGTTTATGAAAAATGTTTTACTCCTGGCAATTTTAACCATTAAATGATCATTCTAAGGAAAGTAAGGGAACTTCATAAAAAGTTTTCACTTCTGAAAGCTATATTTACCCAAGAAGACCATCTTATGTTTTCTTAAATTTTAGCTTTTTCTATCATAAGTATAACTGTACGTTTGCGAAGAGATATCAATAGATAATTTCCTCAATACATACTTTTAGAAAATACAGTCTAGCATAAAATTATTAAAATATACGAGTCTCATTTTGTATCTCTGTTTTTTTTTTTTTTTAAATATGTTTACTAAATTACTCAAAATCTACTGTCTGGGATTTTTTTTTAATATGAACAAATTCTTCCCAAATAATGGTTCCATTAGCGGTGCCATAAAGTAGCTGTAAAGGAGATATTAATTATTAATCAAACACAATTTAAGTGCCAAAACAAATACTGCGCAGTCAAAGTTTTTTGCCTAGACACTCATAGCAAATGAATCAGAACTTTTTATTCTATTTCTGATAGTAAAACATTCTCCCTGAAATAATTGGTCTTTTAGTAGTTTCTAACCTACACATATTGTATGCATCCCATTTTGTACTAGTATGTTTTTTTTTTCACAAACCAGATGCCAAAATTTGTTTATTACAAAATCCCACGCATAAAGAAATAGCATGATGGTGGCCTCACATAGGTATTACACAATTTGCATGAACAAATAATTAACATTCCATAAATGCTTGCTGACAAAGTGGTTATAATGTAAACATATGGATGTTTACTTTAATGACTGTTCACAGAATTACTATCTGTTATGTCTTTTATATGATGAGAGTAAACTTTTTTATC